TCATCATCATCATCATCATCATCATCATCATCATCATCGGCATCGTCATCGTCATCGTCGTCATCATCATCATCAGCATCATCATTATCATCACCATCACCATCATTACCGTCAGCATCATCATCAGCGGCATCAGCATCATCCTCACTACCATCATCCCTACCTCCCTCCCGTCCCTCTCCTCGCTCCCTCCCAGCCCTCCCCATCCTCCTCCTCGCCTTGCCTCGTCCGTCCTCCTCCTCGTCCTCCCTCTTCTCCTCCGCTTCCTCCTCATCTTTCTTCGTGTCCTCTTCTCCCTAATCGTCTTCCCCATCCTCCTCCTCCTCATCATCAGCATCATTACCATTACAATTACCATTAGCATCATCATGTTCTTCGCCCCATTCCAACTAAAAACAAAGTACGCTACCGAAGAACCCCACATTCTTAGTTTAAATATGATGTGTTTGCGTATGTCTTTAATATATGTGCAATCCTGCGTTCTGAACCCTCGTCGCGAATGTTTCCCTATGTGTCATCCAACGCCGTATTGCTTGCCACGCTTTGCGAGCCCGCAACGGATAGGGAGACCACCCACAGCTCCCCCTGTCGTGCCGAGGAAGTGCCACGCATGCCACGCTTTGCGAGCCCGAAACGGATAAGGATACCACCCCCAGCGCTTTCCTTGTGGTGTCGAGGAAGTGCCACGCTTGCCACGCTTTGCGAGCCCGCAACGGATAGGGAGACCAACCCCAGCGCACCCCCTGTGGTGTCGATGAAGTTCAACGCCTGCCACGTTTTGCGAGCCCGTCAAGGATAGGGAGACCAACCCCAGCGCATCCCCTGTGGTGTCGGGGAAGTGCCACGCCTGCCACGCTTTGCGAGCTCGCAGCGGGTAAGGAGACATTCCCCAGCGCACCCCCTGTGGTGTCGAGGAGATACCACGCCTGCCACGCTTTGCGAGCCCGAAACGGATAAAGAGACCATCAACAGCGCAATCCTTGTGGTGCCGAGGAAGTGCTACGCTTGCCACGCTTTGCGAGCCCGAAACGGATAGCGTCCCCACCCACAGCTCCCCCCCTGTGGTGTCGAGGAAGTGCCACGCTTTGCGAGCCCGAAACGGATAGCGTCCCCACCCACAGCTCCCCCCTGTGGTGTCGAGGAAGTGCCACGCCTGCCACGCTTTGCGAGCCCGAAACGGATAGCGTCCCCACCCACAGCTCCCCCCCTGTGGTGTCGAGGAAGTGCCACGCCTGCCACGCTTTGCGAGCCCGAAACGGATAGCGTCCCCACCCACAGCTCCCCCCCTGTGGTGTCGAGGAAGTGCCACGCCTGCCACGCTTTGCGAGCCCGAAACGGATAGCGTCCCCACCCACAGCTCCCCCCCTGTGGTGTCGAGGAAGTGCCACGCCTGCCACGCTTTGCGAGCCCGAAACGGATAGCGTCCCCACCCACAGCTCCCCCCCTGTGGTGTCGAGGAAGTGCCACGCCTGCCACGCTTTGCGAGCCCGAAACGGATAGCGTCCCCACCCACAGCTCCCCCCCTGTGGTGTCGAAGTGCCACGCCAGTGTTCCCTCCTGTGGTGTCGAGGAAGTGCCACGCCTGCCACGCTTTGCGAGCCCGAAGCGGATAGCGTCCCCAGCTCCCCCCCGAGCCACGTGCCGTTCCCACCCACAGTTCCCCCCTGTGGTGTCGAGGAAGTGCCACGCTTGCCACGCTTTGCGAGCCCGAAACGGATAGCGTCCCCACCCACCGCTCCCCCCCTGTGGTGTCGAGGAAGTGCCACGCCTGCCACGCTTTGCGAGCCCGAAACGGATAGCGTCCCCACCCACAGCTCCCCCACCACATCGGAAGTGCCACGCTTGCCACGCTTTGCGAGCCCGAAACGGATAGCGTCCCCACCCACAGCTCCCCCACTGTGGTGTCGAGGAAGTGCCACGCCTGCCACGCTTTGCGAGCCCGAAACGGATAGCGTCCCCACCCACAGCTCCCCCCCTGTGGCGTCGAGGAAATGCCATGCGTGCCACGCTTGTGCCACGCTTGTGCTGTGCTATGCTGTGTTGTGTGCTGTGCTGTGCTGTGCTGTGCTGCGGTGAGCTGTGCTCTGCTGTGCTGTGCTGAGCTGAGCTGAGCTGCGCTGTGCTGTGCTGAGCTGGGCTGTGCTGTGCTGTGTGCTGTGCTGTGTTGTGTTGTGCTGTGCTGTGCTGCGGTGAGCTGTGCTGTGCTGCGCTGTGCTGCGTTGTGCCGTGTGCTGAGCTGAGCTGTGCTGAGCTGTGCCGTGCTGAGCTGAGCTGAGCTGAGCTGTGCTGAGCAGTGATGTGCTGTGCTGTGCTGTGCTGTACGAAGAGTGAGGTGTGTGTGTGTGAGTGTCGCGGGTGCGGCGCGGCAGGGAAGAAAACCAGAACCCCACGAAGCATGTGGGGAATAAAGAGAACGCAAACCGATAACAGAACGACCAAACCACAGGACTGGAAAAAGCAAGGCAAGCAGCAAAGTAATAACAGCCCAAACAGGTACTTACGTTCTCCACCGTTCCACTGCTCCTCCGTCTCGCTTCACCCCGATTTCCCCCGCCTCCCCGACGTTCGACCTTCCTCATCATCATCCTCGGCAGCAGCATCAGCATCATCACATCAGAATCATCAGAATCAGCATCATCATCAGCGGCAGCATCAGCACCAGCATCATCATCATCATCATCATCATCATCATCATCATCATCATCATCATCATCATCATCATCATCATCATCATCATCATCATCATCATCATTGCCATCATCCCTCCCCTCCCTCCCTCCCTCCCAGCCCTCCCTCCCTTCCAGCCCTCCCCCTCCTCATCCTCGCCTTGCCTCATCCATCCTCCTTTTCCTCCACCTCCTCCTCCTCCTCATCCTTTTCCCCCTCCTCTTCCTCCTCCTCCTCCTTCCCCCCCTTCTTCGCCTCCTCCTCCTTCTCCTCCTCGTCCTCCTCCTCCTCCTCCTCCTCATCGTCCGCATCCTCACGCCTCGCTGGGAGAAGGAGGAGGATGCGGAGGAGGAGGAGGAGGAGGAAGAGGAGGAGGAGAAGTAGGGGGAGAGGAGGAGGAGGAGGAGGAGACGGAGGATGAGGCTGCGGAGGATAAGGAGGAGTGAAAGGACGGAAGGCAGCGGGATGGGGGGGTGAAACGAGGAGAGGGGGGGGGACGGTTGAGCAGTGGAACGGTGGAGCGCGTAAGTATTGAAACATGTGTTGATTGATCTTGTGTTGGTTTTATGTTGCTTGTTTCCAGTATTGTGTCGTTGGTGATGTTGTATGTGTTCGTGTTCCGTGTGTGTGTGTTCCCACCGCCCGCATAAGGAACGGATTTGCAATTCGCCCACAAGCCGAATCGATTCTCACTCCCCACAGAAGGACTCGTGTAGTAGATCTGCTACTAAAGGAGTGCGTGCGTGAACCCGCCTCCGGCAGATCGGAAGGAGGAGGGGGGGGGGTAATTCTGCGGAGGATTGGACTGAGCAGGAGGAGGACGACGTTGGCGAGAATTGGACAGAGGATGAGGATAGGAGAGGCCACGAGGAGGCGAGGAGACAAAGACGAATCGCAAAGAACGCTTCTGGGGTAGATCTTTGGGGGGTCCAACCTCTCTCGTCTCTCTCGTCTATTTCTCTCTCTCTCTCTCTTTCTCTTTCTTTCTCTGTCTTGTCTCTCCTCTCTCTTCTCTCTCTCTCTCTCTCTCTTTCTCTCTCTTTCTCTCTCTCTCTCTCTATCTCTCTATTTCTCTTCCGCCCTTCCCCGAATATTAGCAAAACCCAACATCGTCGGGGCCGAAGCCGAACTGGAACCAGAAAATGGATGATGGTTGTTGTTTGGTTGGGGTCGTCTTGAACGCTCTAACTACCGACGGGGCGCCCCGTCCAGACCCTGGGGGAGGGGGCAGGGGGAGAGGTCAAGCTACCCCTGCCCCCGCCCAGGCGCAATTTGTTTGGCTCACTCGCACCCGCCCTCCCACCTTCCACCACATAGCATTCGAGTCGCAGCATATTCAGCGTTCGTCTCTGGACGGCAGCTACTGGAAACCAATAGAGACCCGAGGTGCGCGACGCTGTGGCGAGGTGCGACACGCGTGCCATGCGCGCCACGCGTACCAGGCGCCCCAGGCGCCCCTCGGGCCCAAGCGAGCCAGGCACGCCTGATGCGCCAAATGCGCCACGTGCGCCAAGTGTGCCGCGTGCTCCAGCCGCGCCTGGTGCGCCACGTTCGGGGCACGCGCAGAGTATGCCAGGTGCGCCCGAGCAAATCGGGAGACATGTCGGCCCCCACCATTCTTGTCGAAAACCAGTGCCAAGTCGCGACGGGGTGGCCATCGTGATGTTGGGTGGGCCTGCGCACAACATGCAATATGCCAGCACCCCCGCCGTTCCTGTCAAAAACAATGCAAAGTGATCGCGGTGCGCTCGCGCATGATCCAGATGTTGCAGCGAAGTGCAATTTGTATTGCTGTCTGCTGAGATGGTGGCCCTGCGCAAAGCAGGCTATTTGCTGGCACCCCTGCTGTCCCGATCCGAAAACCATACAACGTGTTCACGGCCCCCCGAAAATGATCCACAGTTTGCTTCAAACTGCTCTTTACATTGTTTTTGGACAAAGATGGTGGAAGGGCGTCATGTTTGCCGCCAGTCGGGTGGGAGAGGGGGTGCATATAAATAAGGAGCAGTGATACTCCTTTCCCCGAAGAAGAAACATTGGGCTGGAAGGGAACATGCTCTAAACCACTCACGCCCTAAAGGGCTGATGGTATGAATCGCCAGGTTGTGTCATTGCCATTTGCTGGTGCTTTGTCAGCATCCATGTCGCAGCTGCCCCCCCCCCAGTGCTTTGCCACTGACCGCCAGAGCAGCAGCAGGACGCAGTCCTCTTACTCTTCAGGAAACGTGCCAGTGTGTGTTGCCGGTTCTGTGTGCGTTGCTTATCCGTTGAGTTGGTGGCATCTTGTCTGCAAGACGATGTGATTATGTTGTCTCATGCACTCCCCGCCGCAGTGTTATCAAGCCAGCCTTCTACAAGTGGAAGGAGGAGAAGGGCCTCTGAGGTTTGGCTTGTAGCCGCGGCAGCGTTGCATCAATAGTTCCTCAGCATGCGAATTTCTTTACGCGGGCCAGACTGATAAGAAGATGTATATGGTGGTCCTTGCGAGCCGGCGTCTGTTACTTCGCACGCGCGTGCGTTTGGTATTTTGTTCCACGTTTGGGTTTGTATATATATATATATTGCGCGGGAGCGGGCAGGCACAAGGGTACGAAGGCAGGGTTGGGCAGATCATTGAGGCGAGGACATTGGAAAATGGGATGTGAGAGTTGTGAGATAACACGGGAAGCATGGGGCGAACTTGCCGCCATCGCAAAGGCGGTGTGGTTGAGTGCCCAGTGCTGGTGGCGAGGCAGAGGTCACGAGCACAATGCTTGAGTAGAGTCGAACGGCAGCCACAGCGTAGCAAGTTGCAGGAGCAAGATGCATTTGAGGGAACTAAGGGTCACCATCTACGGCGGAGAAGGGACGGCGAGGGAGGGAAGGACAATGAAAAAAGGAGGAGAGGGGATGAGGGATGAGGTCGTCAGTATCAAGATCAGGTCCGAAAAAGCGCAAGTGTTCTTTTCACAGAACGACTTGAGGTTTCCCCTATTCGCGCGCCATGTAAGATCGTCATCATCATGCGAGCAAGCAGCGTGATTGCGTGACCGTTGGCTTGCAATTCCAGCTCTCATTGAGCAGATTAGTCGCGCTGCCTCTGAGTAGGATTCAAGTCGCATGTATAGTCTACCGCGCGCGTCGATGAAGTGGCTGTTAGGCAAACCCATTCATTGAACGATTCTCGCAAAAAAAGAGCTGATATCCTTTCACTGATCGCGATCAGTGTCTTACCTTCTGTGGCGAGTGACGACCTTAGCGGTATCATCATTGCCATGTGGTGTGTGTTTTGTGTAGATTATGTGTATATGCTGTACGTCGGGGCTCGATGTTCGGAGGATGTCTCAGGCGAAAGCGCTCTTGTTTTTAACAACCGAATTGAAAAGGGGCTCGAGGTTTGAAGGATGTCTTTGGTGAAGCTGCAATGTTCGAAGGATCGGGCTCAAAATCATTGAATTCCATTGTGTTTTGACGGCGATGGTTGAAAAGGCTATGCTTTTTGGACCATGATGTCGCGATCGGCGTGAGGGGTGCCACCGTTTTTCAGAATATGAAGGATGTCCCGAGCGAAACGGCCAACAGAACTTTCGAACGAGACGGGAGGTTGAACCAATCGCCTCTGAGCTTTACTCCCTTGGAGAGATGCTTGTGATAATATATGTATAGAGAGAGATGTATGTATGTGTATGAATGTGCATAGATGTACATGTATATATATATATATATATATATATATTATGTATACACATCATACATATACAAATACATATGCAAATACCTATACATATACATATACATATACATATGCAGATACACATACACATACATAATCATATACACATATATATGTATTTGTATACATGAATATATATATATATATATATATATACACACACACACCGCGGCCCCGGCCCAAGAACCTCGACACTCCATGGCCGTTCCGCGGCCCCGATGGCTTCCCGGGACCGCCCGAAGACCGCCACAAGACGGCCCTTGAGGGCCTCCAGGTCGCCAAGGTCGTCCCAACACGAGCCCCAAGAGCCCTTCCAAGAGGCTCCGCGAGGCCCAAAAAAGGCTCCGAGAAGCTCCCTCGAGGGGCCCGGGAGGTCAAATCCAAAAGGACACCATGCATTTTTGAATAATTCGCCTTTTCAGTGCCGATGGGCTCCGGAGGCGTCCAGATGGCCCCACGGCTTCCAGATGGCCCCCACAACGCCCGAGAGAGCGGCAAGAGGAGCCCCCGAGGCACCCAGGACGGCTCCATGAGTGCTTCAAGGCCTCCCAAGATCGCTTCCAGACGGCCCCAAATGGCCTCCAGACGGACCTCGAGGCCGCCAAGATCGTCCAAGACGGCCCCAAGCCGCCTCACGACGATTCCACGACGCTTCAAAGAGGCCCTCAAGAGGCTTCCTGAAGGGCCCCGAGAGGCACCAATTCTTCAAAAACCTATGGAAAACCAATTTTTTGAAAGATTATGTTTTCACATTACCAAGAAGCACGGAGGCTGTCTGATGGCTCTGAACTCGCCCGAGAGAGCTCCAAGAGGAGCCACAGAAATCTGCAAGATGGCTCCAAGAGCAAGACCGCCCCAAGACGGTCCTAGGTAGCCTTAAGACTGCCCGCGAAGGCGCCAAGAAGGCCCCAATGAGGCCCTTGGAGGCCCTCAATTGGCTTCAAAGTGTCTTCTGGGAGTCTCAGACAGCACATAAGGTTCAGAAGAGGCGCCCAAGAGGCCCCCCCTTGACCGCGGAAGTCCGAAGAAGAGTTGCAGAGGCCTCAAGTGCCCCCAATACGCCCACCAGAGGCTCCCAAGAGGCTCCCAAGCAGCCCCCAAGCCCCACTAGGCCCCCAAGACGCCCCAACACGCCCCACGAGGCCGCCAAGAAGCCCCCAGAGGCCCCAGAAGGCTCCGAAGAAGCTGCAAAACGTCCGCGAGGGTCCTTCAGATCATTGTGGATCTCCAAGAGGGTTGCGAACATAACATTCATTCTCGTGCAGATCCCCAAGGACTCCCTCGTTCTCGCTTCCTCGGGGCTCTGAACGGCCCCGTCGGCCCACTGGCCCCACGATCGTTCCGACATATCCCGCAAGGCGTGCGCCGGCCACCCTCACAGCCGAAGAGCGCATCCCAGAGGGATCGATACGCTGCCCCAGGGAAGCTCCAGAAACGAGCAGACACCTCCGAGAGGGGCCCCAAAAAACGACCCACGCCTACATGTCCAGCTCATCACCCACGTGCGGGCCCCCAGCGCCCCCCAAGACGCCCCTAGGTCCCGAAGACGCCCCCACGAGGCCCGAGGAGACTCCCAAGGCACGTCCAAGCAAGCCTCCACGATCCCCGACGAGCCTCCCAAGAGAATGTGCAACATCTCCAAAAGTGGCATCGCACTCACGATCCAGACATGGTGAGCGAATCCACCGACGACGGCTAAACCGTTTTTTATCAAGAGGCTGACGGCATTCCGCCGACCCCCAGACGAGGCGTGGAGTCCACAGTTGAGGCGTCGTGGGCTTCTTGGCATTATGCAGGGGATGATTGCGGGCGTATTGAGAGCTGTTTGTGTGATAAGTAGCACTTCCCTCGCCTCAAATCCCCTCTTCCGCCTCGCTTCCGCTCGCCCGCTGCTCGCTCCCATATGACCTCCCGCTGCCGTATCGGTTACAAAACATTTCAGGGCCCTGGGCCTTAGAGCTACGCCAGTTGTTCGAGCCGCGCTCACAGCAAAACTATCCCTGGCGCTGCGCGCCTATCCATATCACAGTGGTAGCTTGGAGCGGTGCTCGCTGCCCCAGACTTCGGGCCGTCCACATAGCAACGACGGCGTCTGCGACACGTCCAACGGAATCGAAGCCCAGCGGCTTCCTCGCGTTCCTCGCGCTGTTGCTCAGCGCCTACGCCAGCGTCTGCGACGCCAGCACCAACGCCTACTACGCATACCCTGCCAACTCCTACGCCAGCGTCGGCGACGCCAGCGCCTACGCCTTCAGCCACTACTTCTCCAACAGCAGCGTCAGCGACGCCAGCTATTACATCTCCTACGCAAGCGTCAGCGACGCCAGCTACTACATCTCCCACGCAAGCGTCAGCGACGCCAGCATCCCCTTTCTCAAGATGATGGGCAAATTCAACACTTTCGGACAATCCGTGACACCTACACGGAATGGATATCCTTCGAAGTAGAGAGATTACAATCAAGAGGTGAAGTTGTGGAAGCTCAGCGAGAACCTTTCAGCGACGCAAAGTTTAGCATCAAAGCTCGTGCTCAGGCTCACAGGGACGGCCAGGAGTGCAGCACTCGATATGTCGGAGGCGCAGCTACATCCCGCTGCTGATCCCAACATCGAGGACGCCGACGAGAAGAAGCGCAATAGGAACCAGATCGGCATCGAGAACGTTTTGCAGCATCTGGAGGCGAGCTCGGGTCAGCAGAAGCCCGCACAGAAGGGCGAGACCCTCGAGAAGTTTGTCGAGTCGACCCAGCAACACCGACGTCGAGGTGAACGCATGACAGACGGGCCCATGCGCGTCGAGACCGGTCTACAGCAGTTATGCGAGCACGAGGTGCACCCAAACGCGCTGGACGACGCGGCCGGCCGGTCTCTCCTTCGCAAGGTTGGGCTCACCGGCGAGCGCCGCAAGTGCGTCGCGGGCAACCTGTCGGACGAGCGCTACGGCGACCAGCGCATTCGCGGGCTGCTGGTTCGGATGCCCCCTGACATCCACAGCTCGGGGCGCCACGCCCCGCCGCCGAGGCCGTGGAACAAGCAGTCGCGCCAGCAACGCGGCCGGCGAGGTGGGGGCCCCTCCAGCCGCGGAGGGCGCCCCGCCAACGTCGTCGACGAGCCCGACGACGACGACGAAAGACCAGAGGAGGACGACGAGGACGAGGCGCAGGACATCGTTCGCCAGGAGTTCGAGGCTTTCAGCGCCGAGCCCGAGTCCTCCGACGTGAACGGCCCCGAGGCGTTCGACGGCGACGACTCTGCCACGGTCGAGGCCGCCGCAGCGGACCTCGCCGCTATCCCCGAGGCCACGGCCGCCATCAGATCGACCCGGGAGGCCCGCAGGGGCCGCAGCAAGTCGAACGAGTCCGCGCCTTCGCGCCGCCCGGCGAAGCTGCAGAGCCGGGTCGACCAGCGCGCGAAGACGCCGCAGCGTTGGGACCGCGGCGAGACCGGGCACTGGACAGGAGACAAGGAGCGCCCCACGCCAAGCGCTCGCAAGTTCGCGCCCAAGGCTGGCAAGTTTAAGGGCGGAGGCCGCGGAGGCCGCACACAGCGCCAGGTTCATATCACCGAGCAGGTCCAGTTCGCGGACGAGGAGATCGCCCTGCACCCGCAAGGACCTGCGACGCCGCCCCCGGAGGCCTTCGTCTCAGAGCGGCCGATACACCACTTGCCGAATGTCAACGTCTCGGGCACGAAGTGGCACGAGAACTACGCGGACATCCTCACCAAGATGGGCCTCGCCGACAGGGTCCTCGGGGGGCCGGAGGACGAAGTCTACAGGTTCGGCAATTGGGGCGCCCCCCGAGCAAGCTGCTCGCCATCGCGCCGCTGGCGCTCCGCGGCCAGGCCAGCCGCATCGTGTTCAGAGT